TGATTGCGCTCAAATCGGTTCAGCTACCGACTATAAAAGTGTTTTACTTACTCTCCGGAACCAGATATCCAAGTAATACATATGTTTATTCAAAAGTAACGCTTGATCCGGTTCGGAAGACATTGTTACCTGCTTTCGGGGATGTCATTTCATTTTAATAGCTTCTTGTAACCGATAATGACCGATCGTCGGTCGTAGCTTGTTGTGATGTAAGGGGCACGGTGACCTTAGAGTGACCGTATTTGCTTACTGAGCAGAAGATCGTGGGTTTAGATTGTGGATTAGAACCCAAGATTGAATTTTAGTGGATTAGAACCCAAGCCCCTTTACATTTCTTAGTTGATAGAGTCGCGTCATTCGCCTACCAGACTTTAAAAGCTCGAATCACCTTCCAATGTGAATCCAGATCTAATTCACACTTCCCACCAACAAAAACGTCCTTCCCGTGACAACCGTGGGGATGCAGAGGTTTACTCGGTCTCTAATAACAACGAGTGTCGAAATAATAATCCTTTTGCTTTCCGATGACTGTAAGGACCCTGAAATTCTCTTCAGAACTACTCTGGAGGTCTCCTCAGAACCACTTTGAAATTCTCCTAAGAACTACTCTGAAGTTCTCCAGTCAGAAGTTTTCCTAAAACTACTCTAAATCTTCGATGATGTTTTCAACATTGTCCTGAAATGTAGGAAGTTGTCTGAATATTCTTTACATGATTTTTGAACTTTCCTGATATTCGGGACTTCTCTAAAGATATCGTTACGCCCCATAGTTCTTTAAACTTCTCAATCAATTAGAGTTCTCTGGACTTCCTTAAAATTCATGGAACTTTGCTTAGGCTCTCGAAGTTTTCCTAATAATCATAATTCTTCTGCGAAGTCCTAATAAAAAAATACGATAGATGAATGATAACCCAAATGATAGAACTATTTCACAAATGTGTTGCATGATACGCGGAACACATCGTTAAGCAAAATAACCATAAAAATTATATTAGGGAGCTCTCGATATTTCCCCACGGTTCATGGTACTTTTTAAAATGCTCCCAAATTTTTTGAAATTAATGCAAATTTAGAGACGATCACTGAACTTTGAAGAATTTCAAAGCCCCTTGGATATTTTTACAAGATTGATCAGTTATGCAGAAGACCTTCTACTGATCAACTATTCAATCAGATAATCCCTCATATATTTCTTCACTATGTCAGCTGAATCAGAGATTATTCAAATAACCGTATTACTGCATGGTGACTAGCTAGTTTGAAGATCGTCAACTGATTGAAAGTGTAAGAAACGACTCTACTTTTAAACAAAGCCACACGAAGATCATGATTAATGATTAGTAATATGTAAAAAGCTATTAATACAAGCGGTCTAATTATGTGCTGTATTACGGTGTTTTACGTGTTTTTGTCAATCCGAAATTAGTCCGCCAATTAGCAGTCGTTAAACTTAAAAATGCAATCAAAATTATCCCGTTTTCGTGGTTTGTATACGTACAACATGCAGCGGAAGAGGAAAATTAAATAGATTTTGCGCGCATTCATTGTAGGAGTGCGGCAAAGCGGCAGCGGTACAGCGGTTAGCGCAATCTTAGTACATTGCGCGTTTGCCGCTGTACCGCTATGTCGCTATGCTGCTGTCATTGTGTTCAGCCCTTAAAACACGCTGTTCCAAATGCGGGGAGAAGCATGAGGATGGCGCCTGTGCAGCTGCTGTATTAAAATGCGTGTATTGCAGAGGAATTCCTCCTCATGATCCCTCGTCGTATTCGGTGTACAAACAGCGCGGGGAGAAACTTGAACGCTCTCTTAAGGAACGTTCCAGGCGGTCTTTTGCAGAAATGCTTAAGACAGCCAAGCCATCGACCAACGACTAAAACACCTTCGCGCTTTTGCCACATGACGAATCTGACTCTGACTTGGCTGAGGAAGGAACTCCTTTCAGTTTTCCGGAAGTTCGCGTGGAGGGAGGAGGCGTACTTCTGGTGCCATTTCTTCTATAGAGTGAATCTTCCACAATTTCCAGAAATAGAAGTTGTCGCATGTCAGGCTATTGGCTATCGAAAGTCGCCATCGCGCAGTTACACTAAAATAAAAGCCAACTAAAACTACCCTAGACGATTTCGAACTGTTCAAACCGAAACAACACAGCACAGAGTAGTAGTGGAGGGCTAGGTTCTATCTGTTTTTTGTTCATGCAACAGGTAATCAATTTTATCTAATCGTATGTATGTACATTTTGATTATTTTACTAAACCGTTACATTTTGTGAAAGATAAGAAATCATCATCTTCAGCAAACAGTCACAGCGTGTTCACCTTTGCGGATGAATCAACAAAGCGAACCGCTTAATTGTCGTTGTTTAAATTTCTGATGTTATAATTCGCCTAAAGGTAGCTTATGGGTATGATCCAACCAAACGACACGCTTAGCTTTATGATATTACAATTCACCTAAAGGTATACTAGACTTATGACTGGACACTGAAGAAGTTTGCAAGTAGTAAACGAAATACGTAGGGGAAATGGAGCTAAGATTGGGCCCATCGCTAAAAATCTGCTATTTATCAATTTTATCTAGATGAACACGTCATTGGGACGGTATTAATTGATATTTTGGTCGCTATTGAAAACTTAGTCGTTTGCCGAATTTATGGGCCCAAATTAGGGGCATTTAGGCCGACATTACATCTATTTCCCCTATATGTTATATTTTTTTTTTTGCGTTATAGTGAAGGCGAATAGTGAATTAGGGAACGTGAAAGCAATTAAATAGTAGTAAAATTAAAAGGAAAACAACGTAATAACTCTAGTAAACAAATACCATAAACGAACTGTATCCCGGATGGGTAAACTATCCCACAAATGGTTTGGATAATACCCCGAACACGTCGCTAAGCTCTCTTTTAGAGTTATTTTTATTAGGGAAGGTATATAATTTTCAGTAATTTACAAATGATAAATTACTAAAATCATTATGCCAAACAAATCTTACATCAAATCTGAATCAAATGTGCGAAAGGAATTGAAATCCATCAATAAAAGACCAAGTTACAAGCGTTTAAAACCGGACACTATGTCATGCTGAACATTACATTCGGTCCTAAGTAACATTGACAGCTTCCCTTCCCAGCTTGATTTCGTCACAACAACAATGATTTAACGCAGGCGCAGTACAGTGTTGCCAGTAACTTCAAATGTCATAACAATTTCTAACCATGGGTGCCAAACAGTGCCAATTAAAAAACTGTCGCATTAATGGCCCTTCGCTCATTTTCAACTTCTATTTAATTTTCATACTGCCGTACTCTAACGGAACTATCCACCTACCCTCTTCTAAAGATCATTCTCTAGCTAATAAATCATCACACTAAAGATACATGTTAGCATTTCCAAACAACTCTGAAAATCGTTAACTTCGCGTATGAAGTAACATAAAAACACTTTGAATGTAACAACTCAAGGCGGGAGTAGCCGTCAACAATGCTGATGATGGTACAGCACGCAACAACCACCCTACTGCTTTCTCTCTGAGATGATCACGTTGGTCATGACGAGAGGAGCAACACAATAGTTGGGTAAAGAAGAACAAACTGCATTATAACACACCATCGACTGGAAATGCTCTCGCAACGTGGGGCTTTAGGTAGTGATGAAAACGTCGCTAGAACTATTCCACAGCCGCAGTCAGTTTATGAGCAACAAGAGGGACGCACATTTTTGCCTGTGGACTTGGAGACATACTTCAAGTCCCCGCGTACATCGTACGGGTTAGGCAAAAATGTGCGTCTATCTTGAAAAACTGTCGCATTAATGGCCCTTCGCTCATTTTCAACTTCTATTCAATTTTCATACTGCCGTACTCTAACGGAACTATCCACCTACCCTCTTCTAAAAATCATTCTCTAGCTAATAAATCATCACACTAAAGCTTCATGTTAGCATTTCCAACCAACTCTGCCAATTAGTGTGCCCAGATATGCCCAACTTTGTTTCTGGCACACTGTGCGGAGTGATCAACCCCTTGGTATTCCCTTACAATTTGCTCCATAATGCTCTAGAAATTCGAAATACCTATAACGATCTTTGATTCACCCTCATATTCTCATAACATTCTTAACAATTCTCGCCAATTGAAGGTATTTCCACCTTATAGTTGATACAGCCGATTTAAATGTTTAGTTCTTCTTAAATTTTCTATCTAGCTGTTAGTCTAGGCTTGTAATGGGGCCAATACATACTGCAATCTGTTTGTATAACCAGGTTGGATTGAAGCTCAGTTGTATTATTAATTAGTAATGATAATATATTCCGTCAAGAGGATCACTATTCGCTAAAACTTTACTAGATTTGACGTTTCGATTTACTGGATTTGAACGAGCACTTACATTTGAAGATGGATGATCCTTTCTAGGATAGAACGAATTATCTCCATAAAAATGACAAATGATGAGAAATTTCACAGTCTACCGATTTGGTTCCCACTAATCAACCAATTGTTGCAACGACGTATATGGGAGTTCATAAGGGGCGTCTACTAATTTAGCAGTAAACGAAATCGAGACGAAGGGTTCGGGTTCGATGAAACATATCGCCACAATTTCTCAGGAAGTCAGTTACCTAGGCTGATGTAGTTCAATCGTGTTCAAAAATTACAAATAACTCGGAAAAATCTCGTTTGCAAAACCGAAATATTTGTTTATTATTATTCTATTATTTTGAGATAGAATTAACTTTTAAAACAAATTGTGCAAGAAAAATAATAGTTCTAAATTTCAACAAAAATGACACATCGCTGCGACACCCTCAGGTATACATTAATCTAATCGAAAGCTACGAAACCGAATGACTATTATGAATGAATCACTCTTCCATGTAAGGAATAGATTTAAGACTTAAGTGTGTACTTTTGTAGATAACAAAAAAAAATATGAAGGCAAAGCTTTTCCGTATTTTTTCCCCAGTAAGCCTAACAAAAGTCTTATTAAATTTTCTATTTACCTGATCGCTGGACAGATTTTCAGCGCTAGCCGAAAGAGAAGACATAATTTCCCAATTGCTTCCGCTTTTTCCGAGCTTTCTACGGAGACTCTACTGTTGGTATCTGCCAAAGAACAAAAAACCGTTCCGCACCCTTTTGATCCGCAATCCAGCTATTGCACTAAACACTCCACATTACACTTGAGACGACACTGAAATCTTCAATTAAGGCTACACACGAACGAACAATATTCACCCAGAAGGAATTCCTCCCTCCCCAATAATAATCACCGACTACAGCAAAATAATATCCAGTAGTGCGGACATGAAGAACGAATCTATTACGGAAAACAAAAATGGGTGACGCATAGAACAGAAAACGACAACGACGACCAGACCGAGTATTATTTTCGCGCAACTGAACCGGAAGCAAACCGCAGGAATCCGCAGCAGAGTGCGCTGTCCTTTTGGCACTTGGAGTATATCACCAGCAGTTTTTTATAACGATGAGAAAATTCACCACCAAGCACTTCTGTCGTAGATATCGACCGTTTCTGCCCATCAGTGGCGTTCGATTTCGCAAAATATGAAGAGTACGACGGAGAGACGGACAAACACCAGAGACACGGGAAAAAGAAAGAATAAAAAATATTACGACGGCTATGTTTGATTCTTTGCGTTCGCGTCGCACCAGCTTCTTGTGTTTTGCTTCCACTAGTTAACTTCCAGCTAGTACTCTTCACTTCACTACCGTTACCGATTCCGTCTCCTCCGAAAAATTACCATCAGCGTCCGAAGTCTCACGGAAAAGCTAAAAAGCGTTGATTTTTTTGTTGTTCTCCACTCCCGTTTTTCTGATGACGGTTGACGTTTCACTTTGCAAGTGTGTGTGAGTGTTATCGCAGGTGACGCAGAGAACGATTCTGAAGGGAAAGAGACACACTAAAATAAAAATTCTATATCAACATTTCACAAGGGCGATTTTTATGTCAACAATTCTCGATGAACATTTCAAATCGACAGTGAGCATGCATAAGGGCGTATACGCGATGATCGATTCTCTTCATCGTTTTTCTCTTTGCATTGCTACAGCTAAGCGAAACAATTTTGTAGAATTTGTTCAATGTAGAGTTGTAATAGGTTGTATTGGCTTTCAAAAGCAACAACAAACGCACCGACAAACGTTAAATCTAGCGAGTTATTAAGAAAAGAGAAAATCGATGAAGAGAATCGATCATCGCGTATACGCCCTTATGAATGCTCACTGTCGAAATGGTCCTATCTGCTTTGATCGATTCTCTTCATCAACTTTCTCTTTCGTTAATAACTTAGCTGCAAAACCTTTCCCTGTTGTATTTGACGTTTTGGACGCTAGATAAGAACCTCCTTTATCAAACTATGTGGTAGAATTAGCGCGAAATCTGTTTGCATAGCAGTGGCTATGAAAAGAGAAAGTCGATGAAGAGAATCGATCAAAGCAGATAGGACCATTTGAAATGTTCATCGAGATTTGACCACTTTGCCAAGCATTTTTCACGCAGTGAATTTTTGATGGTTTAAAACAAAAAAAATAATATGGTAGTGGTCAACGATCGCTTTATTATTGTTTTAATGGGGTATTTTTGTTCAAACATCTTTAATTTTTTTTAAATAACAATATTATTTTTTGTTCTCTTGCTCAAATTTTCAAAGCATCAAAATTGTTGATTTAACAAAACGCATGGTTTATTTCAAGGGCAACATAAAATTAATTCAAATAACATGATTGTTGATTGCATTATATTTTTTGTTCAGTGTGGAGAAGCTAGAAACCGAACCCGTCCTTCGCCATTTTGTTCACGTGCCAGTAAAGTTTTGCGTATCAAAATGTGTTCCGGTTCCGATAATTCAATAATTATTGAAGAACTGCATGTAGAAAAGGTGTCGGTTGAAGAAATCGACACCTCTTCATTTATTGAATAGTTATGGAATGTCCGAATGAGTTATTGAAGCGTTTCTCGGTAGGTAGTATCCTTTTTCATTCGATTACGGTATCCTAACATTATTATTGCAGTTAATTGTTACACCATCGAAAGATTGAAAATCATACAGAGGAAGGAAATTGAGGAACTCCTTCCTTCGCCGTTTCTTGCTGAGCGAACCAGATTCATTCATGAATTGGACTCTTGGAGGGAGGCACAGGTAAATTATCATCAAATCATTCTTGTTTATTGCAACTAACTAGTTATTCCCTTTCATTACATGGGCTTTCAAAAGTCAGCGAACAATCCGTTACTTTCAATTCATCTGTGACCCGAGACAACAACGCGCGACCCTCTGAAGAGACTCAAGTGACTCGAGAAGCCCGTACTGCCACCTTCTTATTGAACGCGTCATCGAAAGGGCAAGCCATCCTAAGGAAGTACAGCAAAACCACGTTCCTCTCCTGATCTGTGTGTGTGTGTCATCCTCTATCCCTCACCCAGCCGGGGGCGTTGGACAAGTAGAACTGCGAATAATTTGATCAAATCTCATGCTCCGTAATGGTGCCCTTTATGTTGTGAAGACTAGTACTTCAAAAAGGGTAACTTTTGAGGCAAGACAGGGTGTCCTCAACAAGTTAAGGGAACAGGATGTACTAGATGTCCACAACAGGTACAGCAAAACATCACATAGACGCCCTTATTCACACTAACTACTCAGGGGGTAGAAGGTCAAGAAGAGCCACCGCCGCCAACTAAAGCTTGAACCGGGTACCTGGGACTCCCACGATATACCCGCGGCAATGGTCAGCAGACGATGCCCTGTGCGTATTTAGTATGTAATATGTTTTATTTGGATACACAAAATGTTTGAAGCCATGCGTCATCTAAACCATAATTTGCATCACCACAAATACACTTGTCAACAATCTTCAACTGGAACGTACTCACCAAATCACTTCACCCGGGAGCGCATTCCCGATGCTTCCACGCATATTTTTTTTTTCCCTCCACTCCAACCACACAACAACCAAATATCACTTTTCTTCACTTTTCTTTTTCAAGTCACTCCGTGCACAAAAGCAATGCACATCTCAAAACCCTGACAATAGATCAGCGCACTTCTCATCACCGCGTAAATAAACAGAAATTAAATTTTTCACTCGCGATGCCACAAATTTCTGGTCCGGGAGAAACAATCAAACCACGCCAATTTTGCAAACATGATGAATCATGTTTTCTTTCTCGATTCTAAAACTTCTCGGAAAGCGAGAAACCAACACTCACCACCACGTTCCTCTCCTGATCTGATAAAAAAAAGTGTCACCCACATCGTTGTTGACGAGTTCAAAACCCGTTTCTCTAAGCTGTCATCGTCGGAACTTCTGGATAGAGCTTGTGAGCTGAAGCAATTATGGCATAATATACGCATCAAAACAATTTCTCACTTATGTAAAAAAAAGTGCTTAGCTCAGTCGGTAAAGGCACAGCTACAAAGCAAGACCATGCTGGAGGTGGCTGGGTTCGATTCCCGGTCCAGTCTAGGAATTTTTCGGGTTGGAAAATTTCTCGACTTCCCTGGGCATAGAGTATGATTGTACTTGCCACACAATTATACTAATGCAAAAATGGTACAGGCATCGAAAGCTCTCAATTAATAACTGTGGAAGTGCATCTAGAACACTAAGTTGAGAGCACGCAATAAGCTAAAATACCACGAATGATAAAAGCAACCATATTCATTTATTGAGCTAAATAAATTTTTATTTAAACCAAGAACACCAGATATTGTTTCTCAAAAAATCATTTTTGCTTTAAAAAAAAATATTGATACGTGGTCGTATCATCCCACTTTTGAATTCAACAATAAATATTGTTGAAACGAAAGCATGATTATTGTTGAACCAAAGATATTACTTTATTAGCCGGGAGATAATACAACTTTTTTGTTGAAACTATACTGAATATTGCTATGTTCAAAAATATTTTCTCTGCGTGTTAGCATGACTTTCTACCGGCGATTTCACAAAACTGGAGCAACTAATTTCTAGTTTTTTTTTTATGAAACGCACAAATTTTAGCTACTTTTCTCGAGGTTCTAGAAGAAAACATTTCAAAATAATATTTTGTTTCAAAGTTCGAGTGGTAGTAAACGTCATTTTAACTGCTCTAATGAAGTGGTTAATTGCTTCTCGCGAAATAATTTATTATAATATTTCGATTTATACACTAGTGAAAATTAATTTAAGGACACTTTAAAAAATACAAGCTTGGCAAAGATGACTCACAGCGACTCACAAAGAGCTACTGATTCCGATAAATAGCGGTGCGATTTGTTCCTCCTTATATGGATGCTCATGTGGGCTGCAACTTGCTGCTTGCAGGCAGCCTTTTGATTTGTACTGGAAAAAAATGTCCGAAAAAAATAATTATAATAAAACAACAAAATTACAATAATTTTTACTGTTGAATTTCAAGTACATTAAAATTTATTGTTAAATTATTGTACAGGAGAAAAAATAAATTTCGATTTTTAACGGTACAATGCTCAAACAACGAAAATTAGTGTGATGAGCAGAGGTGGAAACAGTACTTTTTTTGCAAAACATCGTCCAGAGCAAGGGGGGCGACACATCTAAATCTCAAATTTAGAAGCTCAACAAATCTCACACTAGCTAATCAATCTTCGAAAAATCTTCTTTCATTTTTCGCATCTACTTGCATCGCGCATCATCTTTTTGCAGGAAATCTTCAGAATCGTCATCAATCTTCTTTCTATCTACTCATCATGCGCGCAGCTAGCCACAGCAAACACACAATCTTTTCTGCATCGTAGATAGAGTCGTCCCCCTCGGTCCAGAGCAAAACAAAACAGCCAGCACACGGGCGGTCGTGTATTTCTACCAGGATCCACGTGGATTTTTTTTTCTGTATCGGATTTGCAGTAATCCGGCTGGTGCTTCCATATATATTTGATGAGAAAAATTAAGATTTATATAATTTTCAAAGCGATTATGATCTTCCGGATTTTCAATGTGCGCTTATTTCAGTTGTAAATCAGTGCAGATCTTGGTGCAGATCTGTTTAAAATGGTCAAATTATGCCACTCCCGAAGGAAATTTGCAAAATGTGCAAACGAATATGCACTATTTTGAGCTTTGAAAATTGTCATTATGATGTAAACAAACGGATTGGAACATTTCCTCTCAAAATAGACTAGCGCACTCTACATTCATGGTGCATTAAATGAGCCTATTGAATTCGCCTATGCTCATGCTAAGGAAATTTAATAGATTGTTTTTATGTGCACCACACATGATTTTTTGCAATTTCACGTATACTTCTGAGTGGATTCTTGTGTGATCATGAGAAAATCATGTGGAATTTCACATGGAAATTCGTCAATATGGAAAACTGCTTGAAAATAAATTTGTGCTCGAGCCCCAATGACTCTATCAAAGTTTGTTTACATACATGTTTCGCCAAAGTATGTTTTACTGTAATTGAAAACTCAGCTGCCTCAAAAAAACTTTGCTGGTTTTTCTACTTTCATCGCCTGTTGGTTTTTCTCTTTGAGCTTAAAATTAAGAATGTGTTATGAAAAAGTATAGAACATTTTTATGGGATTACAATGCTTGACGGTAGATAAGAACAGTAACTGCATTTGCTGCTTCTGAATGTTTGGCTCCCGCTTGATAGTTCACACTGGCTTCCAAGTGACAAGCACCTTGAGTGAGTCCGCAGTACTCAGGTCCGTACACGGAAAGACGAAACAACTCAAAATTAAGTCATTTGTACTCATCTTGACAGCTAAGCACAACCACCATTGAGTTCTTTGCAAAGTATCCAATTTTAAGTATTTTGCATAGACATCGTTTGAGTCAAATTCAACAATTTCATTTAGAGTGAATGTTTGGTAAAATCTACTCAAAACTGGGTTTTCATTTTGATTAATTAAACTGGAAATTTGATTCTTCAAATATATATATATATTTTGTAATTCCTAAAACGAGCATTATAATCAACTAATATTTTTTTATTCGTATGAAATAATTTAACCAGGGGGTAAGTCACTCTACCACCTTGTGTCTGTGCTGATTGTGCTTCTTGTGTGTTTCTGGGTGTTTCTACGTGTCGACCTGGCTGTCAAAACGGCAAGGGAAAAATGATGCTGGCTGTCAACCATAATTTCCATGGACCGTTGTGCACAACACTGAAAATGTCAGATTATCTTCGCTGCAAGCAAACAATCAAACAAACAAACAAACAGGCAGGAGGATTATTCGGCGCATATATAACCGTGGTCGGTGGCACCAGATATCGGAGCATTTGTCACCATCCAGTCCGGGTTTAATGGTGAGTATGGTGCAGACATCGAATTTCGATACTCAGAACGCACATAGTTTTTGTTTATGCTTTCAGCGTTTAGGCAGCCGCAGCAACGAAACCCTCACCCGAGAACTAACTTGAAGTACATAGCGGTCCCAAGCCTTTACGGTGTAGCACTTGAAGGACGCTACTGCTCGCGCTACTGAACCACGAGGAGTTGTTTTCATCGTCGGCAAATAGTAAAAATTACAAGAGAAAGGCAGGTTCTGCTAGCAGACCTTCCAGAGGAATGACCTTCGTCGTTCAGGATAACAATTAAAGACAAACCCTTAGGAGAACAGTTTTTATCAGGATCATCAGGTCATCAGCACGAATAAATTGAATACCAACGGACGCTGTTCCTTCCTCGGTTCCTTCATATTAAAAATTTAACTTTGTTAAATCATTCAATTGAGCTTTATTGACGTATTTCCCTTACATAGCAGCATAGCATACTGTTAGTGACACATTTATAATTTATAATATCCCCCTTTTCTATTCTCTATGATTTTAAAAGCAGCTGCATTTTAAAACTTAGCGCTGATTAACAACACTAAGCAAAGCTGGAATTTCCAAGACGGGCTTTGAAAACTTATATGTTTGTATCAACTTGGTCATGAAGAACTGCTGCCATTCTCAGGAATGGTAATTGGGCTATTTTTCTCCCAGAATTAGATTACCGGTGGGATTCTTGGAAGAAATTATGATGTCGAGCACGTTTCAGGATGTGCTGGATGAAATTCAACCAGTCGCGCTGTTTAATGATAATCGGTGTTTAAATTTCCATACAGAACCGTCATGATGATCAAGTCTGCTTGTCGTCCCGAAAGCGTTCATACAGCAGTAACCTCGGCAGTAGAGGCGTCAAGGTGGCGTGGAATTCTTCGATCATCGATCTTCTCTGTACCGTGCAGCAATATATATTTATGAATAAGCGAGTGTATAAGTTATAAAAACCTGCAACAAATCTCGAAACTAACTTGGAACCTAGCTTGGAACCTAGCTTGGAACCTAGCTTGGAACACTCCCTCATATCCTGGCTCATATAAATAAACCTAGAAATAAAAAAAATCGTTGAAATTTGACTGGTTGGATTGGATTGTTTACTCATTAGAGAGGTTCAGAATAACAAAAATCATATTGATAAGTCAAAGATGGATGATAAAATCAGATCATGGATTGGTCTATTATAAACAACATATGATGAAAACATTATAGGAAGTGGTGCCAGAATTGAATATTTTATGTGGTGGCAACCTGGGTGACAAGGTGTTTGGAGTGTGCCGGAGTGTGTTTTCGTGTGTGTTAACACAAGGTGGCAAAGTGACTTACCCCCTGAATTTAACAATTTTCAACTAATCAAACAATATTGTTCTTCATTACTATTGAAAACTGCCGCATCGCAACGACGTCCAATCACAACCAGCCAGCTGAATCTGTTAGCTCTGGTACCAGTCCAACCCGCAAGTGAACTTCAAATGCTGGCTGTTCGTCTCCATGGCTTCATTGGCTTGCTCGTTCGTCTTCTTGTTGTTTCAGATTCTGAAAAGTTTTTAATTGATGACAGTTACAGAGTGTTTATATGAGCATTATTTTTAAACATAATGGGTAGACAGATTGTCTGATGAGAATAGTACTTTCTTGCGGCAAACTGATGAGACAACCCAAAAGATGTTGGAATCGTGTTGATTTCCATCTATTGGTCCTCATGTACGGATATCCGTTTTTGGCTCTCAGGATGGGCTTCCGCAGCGGAAAACTTCTATCCCCGAAACTACGCATCTCAATCTCATGGCCCGTATCGGATCATGCCTAAAATAAATTAAAATTCCTTTCATTTTCAAGTTCTCAAGGATGACGCAAACTTACCACATCGAATTGGTTGGTTCCGAGGTTGGTCCAATAGTCATCACCTCAAGAATCTTGAGCCCATCCAGTGCATGGGAAATTCGCAAAACTGTTGCTTCTAACAGACGACAAAGCCAGAATAAAATAAACATGGCGCAGACAACGATTTTTCATCCAAAACTAAGTGCAATCGCAACACTTGATTTTGGATACTTTCATAGCGCGGGAGACAAAACAACTCAAAATCTAGATACAATGTACTCAAAAATAAAAACTCTCTCAAGACTACTGGTTGAGTACAATTCACAAAAAGTAAGAGTTCTGGTAGTACTTCATGATTAACTTAAAAGTACCCATCAATGAGAACAAATTTTCATCCAAAACTGTGGTGATAACGAAGTACTTATTTTTAAGTACTTTATATCTCGTTTTTGAGTTGTTTCGTCTTTCGGTGTATATCCCTGCCGGGTGTTCGCGTTCGCCTTTTTACCCCGTCTTTCCCTATGTGGAAAGCTTTTCTGAAGGGCTTGTATTGGTTTTGACTAGAGTCGGTGTCATAGGGAACATGTACACCGACTCTAGTTTTGACATTTTTATTTCTCTGATTATTATCTGCCGTTCTATTTTGCTTTTGTTTTTCGTAATCTTTTAATATCTTTTCTCGTGCGCTCAGTGGCTCAGTGCTGGTCAGTGATCAGTTTGGTTCGTTTGGCCAGTTTGCTTATTCACATTTTATTTTCAATTCACCTCAATCATTGCATTTATTGTAGTTTATCATACCACCGACATGGCATCCGAGGAGCAACTGGCCCTATCCGGGCTCATCAAATCGGTTCACCAACGGCTACGGGACTCGGCCAAGGGTTCCCATCCGGATCAGGTTTGGCGAGATCATCTGCAGAACGAGGACCTACTGAAACAGTATGCAAACGCCATGCACAAACTGGCCATCTGCTACTGGGACAAAACAATGGAAGTTTCGTGCAAGAAGGACAACAGCCGGATAGAGTGGGCGGTCAACTCCTGTCGGGATTACTTTTTTCGACATTGCTTGTTGAATTTGTTTCGCGAGAAGGACGATAAGGTGGGTTCTCTTCAAACATAGCGGGTTGGGTTTAATCGAATGTTGAATTATATATTATTCAAGGTGATGAAAGCTTTGGACGAGACCCATAGTCATCCCCATCAACCATACCAAATCGATCGGATAAGGCTTCTGGATGTTGGGAGTTGCTACAATCCATTTAGTGTATTCGCGGATTTCGAGGTAACGGCGATAGACATCGCTCCCGCGCAAGAATCGGTCAGGTATTGTGATTTCCTCGAGGTTCCACTTGGCAGTGATTTTGCTGGCGATTCAGAATCGTCGATTGAAAGCCTTTCGCGGACCTACTTCGACGCGGTGGTCTTTAGCTTGCTGCTAGAGTACATGCCTTCGTCTGACCAGCGATTGCAATGTTGTCAGAAGGCGTATGATACACTGAAACCGGAAGGAATCTTACTAATAATAACGCCAGACTCTCGGCATCAAGGCGCAAATGCCAAGTTAATGAAAAACTGGCGTTACACACTTGGACTGATGGGTTTCACCAGGATTAAGATCGAAAAATTGGAACACGTAACTTGTATGGTGTTTAGGAAGTCTCTTTTCAGAGAAGTTTCCGAACGGTGGTGTAAGATTCACAAGGAAGGTTACATGGAACCGGTGCTGAATATACCGCAGGACTTTAAATGTGATTCGTCTGCGAACGATGACGTACAGATGGAAGGTACTGAAAGGACGGTTGATTATATGGTTGAAATTAAGGAAATGTTTGGTGGGTTACCATTTGTGGACGAAGACATGAGCTAAATTAAGAATATACGTTTATTTTTGTATGGAAAAGAAAGCCTTGGTTAAGCTTCACGATCGATGAGAGAAGCTCAAAATTGAGTAGAATTTCACTCATATTTGCAAAAACTGGGTTACTCAGTGGATTAATAACATTTTCCTCAAAAATCGGCTTGTATTTCAGGAATATCGATGAATATTTTACTCAGTTCACGAGTATTGTCCTTTATATTCATTAAATCTGGTGTCGACGTCAGCAAGACTTGTGCAACTATTTGGGTTAGCTCAGGCTTTGATTTTAAAATAAATTACTTCGCGGTAACAAGTATACTCCAATAAGACTGAAAATATTCATGGATTTTCCTGAGTTCAAGTTGACTTTTGAGGAAAGCTTCACTCAGAGTAACTCTGTAATTCTGAGCTACTCTCGTCAGCCGTGTGAGGAAAACCGATCAAACTTTTACTTAGTTTATGCACGGTCGATTAAACCAGGTTAAATTTGAGTTTCATTTACTAAAATTCGCAAAACGTAGGTTACTCATAGACAGTAAAATTTCCTTCGATTTTCAAGGAAAAACTTTTCGAATATTATAAAAATCGAGAGAGTTTTCACTCAGTCTATTAGGAGACTCCTAGAATGAGTAAAGTATTCATCAATTTTCCTCATATTCGAGCAGATTTTGGAGGAAAAGCGAGGAAAATTTTACTCAGTGTATGAGTGACCTACGTTTTTGAGATTTTTAGTGAAAAACCAGTCAATTTTGATTCAAACCTAGCCTTTGAGCTGTGTATTAATTGAAGTAAAAAGACCAGTGACCAGAAGTGACGCTTGACTTGACTTACAGAACGGCACCCATAATTTGAGTTGGATTCAACCCTCTTAGGATTCAACAACCATGCAATATTGAATAAACTATCATGCAATATTGCCTACAACAGAAGAACGTTGAAGTTTGCTGAGCAATGTGATAGATGTCACTAGTGTTTGACGGGGCAAACGGGGATATATGGACAATTTACATCATCTGTGACGGCGCCGGTGGTAAACGTAGATATAGCATCTGGTGAAGATTCAAAATCAGGATATTTTGAAAATGTTAGCAAGATTTATTCCATTAATGTTTGTTGATTTATTATTTATTTATTTATTTATTTATTATTCTCTTCATCGGACTTTTGTTGTCTAAATAAAGATTGATGGGGAAAAGCCTATTTGGCAAATATTTGCGCAAATAGGCGTAAAAACCCCATATCATTTCAAAATACAAGGAACAATATAAAAAGAACAGAAAAACACATCAATTATAAACATAAACACCAAATAATAATAATAATACTATGGTCTTCATCATAAAAAAAAAATATTAACTTCGTCCTATGGCATGGAGTTATCCTTGGATCAGTCGAGGCCTTCATCGCAGAGTTGATCGGGAACAAAAAAGGAAACAGGTAGCAAAATTTATCAGATGTACATTAATGGACAGCTACTCACCGTCTTGCAACAATTTGCTGATTCAAAGCAGTTGCATTTGTCGAATCGTATCGTCACCTATTCGGCAGACTACGTTGAATCCGTTGACGAAATGTTTCCACTGTGCAGTTGAAATCGAAAAAAAACATAGAATTCATTGAAACGGGCAGACATGAACCATATTGGATCATGTAATCCGTAATTAGCTGCACGGGGTCCGAGATGCAGGAAACTTCTCGATCGTAGAACTCGTTCAGATGCATAGATTTCGAATTCAGCCAAAATCCCGGGAGAGTCGATTTCGCTTATCAGCACTTTTGCTGCAAAAACTGCCTGGTTAATCTTCCGCCTACGTTCAAGAGTTTCAATACCCAGTGGATTTTCCCACTAGAGAACAATATAGAGCTGTCAGACAGGTAGGATCCCGAAACTCATCAGAGATCTTAAAGATGAATCCGAGTTGCCTGTTAGCTTTGGCTATGATATCCGTGTAATGTAGCTTAAATGTCAAAGCAGAATCAAGTGTAATTCCTAGATCACGAACGTTGTCCACACGCTGCAGAGGTTGGTTATCGATCGTATAATCGAATGCAATAGGTTTTAGCTTGCGATGGAAAATGATGATATTGCATTTTTGAACACTCAACGTGAGAAAAGTCCTAGAGCACCACTCTTCGAAACTATCGATCAGGTGCTGCAACCGCAGGCAGTCAGTGAAACATCGCTCAACCACGTACATCTTGACATCGTCTGCATAGAATGACCGGCAGCCAGTTGGAAGTATCAAACCGATTTCGTTAATGAATATGGAGAATAGCAGCGGTCCCAAATTGCTGTCTTGAGGAACACCTGAGTTGTTTGAAAAATAATCCGATTTATCAGACCCGATTTTCACAAAAAGCTCTCGATTGGTAAGATACGATTCAAACCAACGAGTGAGTCTATGAGAAACACCAAGCTTTTCGAGTTTGGCAATTAGAATGGCATGATCAACCCGGTCGAAAGCAGCCTTGAGATCCGTGTCCACCTGTGTCCCTGCCTCCATATTCCGTAGGCATAGGGAAATGAAAGAAGCGAGGTTTGTTGAGACCGAACGTTTGGGGTGGAAACCATGTTGGTCAGGAGAAATTTAGTTTCTACAGCTGGCAAATAAAGCGTCGTTGATGATTACCTCAAATACTTTCGAGCAGGCACAAAGTGAAGTAATTCCTCGGTAATTTCTCCACAGTTTGTTTGTCTCCTTTCTTGAAAATCGGGAACATGAACGAAGATATCCAACGAGAGCGAAATACACCTTGTTGTCACGAAATATTGAACAGCTTTGAAAGCGGAGAGGAAAGCTCTGTTGAGCATCTTTTGAGTATGGACGATGGAATGCCGTCAGGCCCAACAGCGTTCGAGAATTTCAGCTTCTGGATGGCAGAGTCGACGAGGTCCAATGTGACCGTGAAAATATCAAAGCTGAACGCGTCACTGGAAGTATCTCTGATCGCTTCAGCAACTTGGCTTAACGATGCCGTTGAATCGTTGAAAACACTCTTGAAATGCTCAGCCAGGAGGTTACATTTCTCTAAAGAAGTGTTGGCTCTTTTATCGCTTAGATGAATCTCAAACGGTAGCCCATCCCAACTAACAATTTTAGCTGCAGATTAGCTTATACAGCCAAAAATTGGCTTATACAGCTAATTTTTAACTGTATAAGCTAGTCTACAGCTAAAATTGTTTGTTGGGATCCTCTTTCCCACAAACGTCCAGAATAGCTTAGGATTACGCCGGAGATTGGTCTGCATACGTCTTGAGTACTTCTTGTATAGAAAACGGTTGTACATTCGGTAGCAATTACTTGCTAACGAAAATAATCGCTTGGTGAATGGATTACGGGACTGGCTGTATTTTCGAAGAGCCTTCGATCTCACACGCTTCAAGTGTTGTAATCGAACATTGGACCATGCAGGTTTTGGAGCAGGTCTCCTCAGAGGCACACAATCCATTATTAATCGGCTAACAACTTCGTCGAAATAGTTAACGGCTTCATCAATGGACGAACACAAGTCAAGCGACTGCCAATCTACCTGGGCCAGTAAGTGATTCAATGCGACGTAGTCAGTTCTACGAAAGTCCAGGCTTTGTACATCAACGATGTTTTCATAGAGAACAGGAACTGATCGATTGATGAATGCTTCCAACGCTGGATGATCGGCGTCTAGATGTATCAGAGGCTCGGATGCCTCAGCGACACTGCACTCTAGTGCGGCGGCTTCGTTCACCAACACAAGATCAAGCAGCCGAGAGTTTCTGTTTGGTACAGAATTAATTTGCATTAAACCATGCAGGCTAAAACCATCCAAAAGGGCACAGCAGGGAGCAGGCATGTACGACCGAAGAATGTCAATGGTTGGATGATCATTCGCGGAAATATTCCAAACAAGCCCAGACTGGTTATAGTCGCCAAATAGCAGAGCTAGATCGTTGTGATGTAATCGGGACAATACAGCATCAATGGAACTGATATGGTTCTCAACGCAGCTCAAATTAGATTTACGGTCAGGAGGAAGGTACATAACGCCGATGCTTATCATGTTGTGTGACGTCGTAATCTTCACCCATAACTGCTCAAGAGAAGTACTAACCGGAGCATGATCGAGGCAACAGTTCAGTCGTTTGGAAACCGCAACAAGACGCCACCACCCCGTGATTTGGCACTGTTCATCCGGTTACGGTCATTACGAAAAACTGAGAACCTAGTGCCAAATAATTGTGCTGAGTGAATTCGATCATCTAGCCAGGTCTCGGTAAGAACTATTGCATCGTAGTTGGACTCAACAGCAGTCAAGAATAAGTCGTCAATTTTAGTTCGCAAGCCATGAACATTTTGATAATACACCACAAGTCCATCGGATAACATAGGTTGGCAATCGGAAAGGCAAGGTTCAGTCGGTGGTGAAGAAGACGTTGCGCTGAAACGTGGAGGCTGATCAGGCGAGGAATTGGTTTCAATAAACGCATACTTGCCTGAAATCGAAGGTTGGAAGACCCCTTCACCGTACTCAACCACAGGGCCAGAACGACTACGATGGCAGGAATCAGTACATACGACTGCGTTGAGAGGCTTAGGGGCTTCCATGGGGCGGTAGGCAATGCGTTCTGGGCTGACAGTTTCAGAAACGTGGCAGATATGATTCGGTGCAGTATGTTCAGAATCGGTGTTATAAAGGAAGCCGTCATCGGTGGACTGCAGACCGTGATGTTCAGGATTGAAATAAGCAAAATTGGAAATGTAAGACGTGCTGTAACTTGAAGCTATATCAGGCGGAGAATTGTCTTGATCACATTTGTACTTGCCTGTTGAAGCAAGCTGGAAGACCTCTGATCCACATCTAGTCACAGGTCCGGGACGACTGTGATGAACGCTGGCAGGAATCAGCGGGACTGGACTAGAGGAACCAGGGGCTTCCAAAATGCAGTCCATAGTGCGACCCGGGCGTGAAGTTTGGTGACTCATGCTGTACAGTGGTTGTTTAATGCCGTTGGCAACAGAAATGCTACTCAACAGGAGGCAGT